AGCTCTGGGAACGTCCAGCAACCGCTCGCTCTGGGAGAAACCTGGTGCACGCAAGGAGGCTGCGGGCAAACACGCATCCTTGTGCAAAGACCCATCTGTGCAAACACGTCCTTGTGCAAAGACATGCGAGGGAAAACGCGCTCGTGCAAAGGTGCATGCTTGTGCAAACAGCGGCCCGTGCAAAGCAGCATGCTTGTGCAAAGCTGCGTGCACTTGTGCAAGCGCAGGCACTTGTGCAAACACGCTTTCCCCCGCAGGCAGCTCTGCAGGCTCTGCTTTTTCCCACAGCAACGGGAAGGCGGCACTTTGCCCTCACGGTGCCCAGGAAATTACACAGATTAGCAGCTCCATTCTTTGGCGGTTCGGGCCAATCGTGTTCCGGTGCTGTTTTTCCATCAGCACGCAGTTGCTGCTGTCGCTTTGTTCCGGCAGACCCTTGGGCAGCATTTTGCCTTGCAGTCACTCCCGCTGTTGACTAAAGCCTATGTTTAAAGGTAATATAAACAGTTCAAGCTTTAAAATAAGCCGGATCCACCATTCCTACACGGCTTTGCCGAAGCTGGATTTTCCGACAGTGAGCCCCAAAGCCCTTTTCCCTGCGATATTTGCTGATGGTGGCAGTAATTAAAGCCCATCTGCTTGCAGAGCGACAGTGAGTAGAGGTTGACACCCAACTTTGGAGCTGGTGAACACCCGACCTCATGCCCAAAACGAGGCCCCAGGGAGAAAACCCAACAGAGAAACCATGCTCCAGCAGCAAACCCTCTGCGTGGTTTTCTTTTCCTTCCGCTTTCGTCGCTCTTTTCCTTTTTAATAATTATTAATAAAGCTTTCATTAAAAGGGCAGTGACGCAAACTCGCACTGGGGAACCAAATATTCCAAGTCATCCATTAAATCAGCATTTCTCTCTGTTCTTCCGCTTTCAATTGCTGGGTTTAATAACCAAAAAGTAGAGTGGAATGAGCCTGGGAGGGGCGGAGCAGCACCTCAGCCATTGCTGCTCTGCAATTCCCCATCGCTGCAATGGGAACCAATGGGGAGCAACGCCGAGGCCCCAGAAACGGCGCCGCCGCCCTGAAATTCCCCATCGCCGCCACGAGGGCCAACAGATTTGGCTGTTCCTCCAACAACTGCATCGCTGCCCATCAAATCCCCATTGCTGCCGATGGGGGCAGGAACGGCGACGGCGTCGGGGTTGGCATTGGATCCTGCCGGTCCCCGCAGCTCCAAGCCCTGATGCTCTGCCTCTCCCCAGAGGAGCATTGCTCTGCTGGCAGCTCCCTGGGGCAGCTTTCCCACACCCACCTCTTCCCGCAGGCAGAGCTCGCATACCCAAAACCTGATTTAGTTTATATATATATATATATATGCAGACTTTTTTTTTTGCTAGAACCCAACCAAAAAGCTTCTCCTTCCACTATTCTATTTAGAATCATCTCATAGAACACCCTCAGTTGGAAAGGGCCCCTAAGGATCATTGAGTCCGACTCCCAAATTCGCCTCCACGCCGACTGCGCCCCGCTCTGCCCAGTGCTCCCCAGTCACCACAGCCCTTGGATCGCCAGCACAGCCGTGGTTCCATCCACAGCACTCTGGACCAGCTCAGTTCTGGCACTGTGCAAGGACAAAAGTTTCCTTCTGGGTTCTTCCTTCAGGTTGGGGACAGGGCTGGGAACCCTGTTGGGGTGCAGGGATGTGAGAACCCACGGCGGCTCCTCCTCAGCCTGTTGTCATATGGGAAAAAAAACAACCCTCAAATTTTAAGGTTAATAAAGCCCTTGTTTGCTTAAGATAGCACCTGTTTCTATGGTGACACTTGCAACCCAGAACCTGTTTATCAGAGCGGTGACAAACACAGGCACGGGAGGGGGCCGTGGTGGCACTGGGACGTTCAGCACCGATGGCGGCGCAGTGACCCCAGTGCTGACCCTCATCTCACCCTACCAACCCAACCCAACCTTCCCCAGAGGCAGGAACCAACTCCAAGCGCGGGGCCGACGGCTCCCATCGCCCTTTCCCAACCCGTTGGCTGACGTCGCAGCCCCGACCGCTGCGCCCACCTCCACTCTGCTCCGTGCCTCAGTTTCCCCACGATCCCCCCATCAGGATACGGCCGGGGCAGCGCCCAGCCCCGCTCCGCCCCATCTCAACGCAGGGTCTGGTGGCTGCCAGCACCCGTTTCCATAACGACTTTTCTGCTACAAACATATTTGGATAAAAATAAAGTTCAAGCGGCGACGCTGCGGCGGAGCACAAATCTGCAGCTCCCGAGGAGGGGGGAAAGCCGGAACGCTCTCCTTCCCCTGGGCAGGATTTTCTGCCTTCCTTTGCTGCTCACGGAATGGCAATCCGTGTTTACTGGGTGGCTCTGCCGCCCGGCCCTGGCTCTGCATCGCTACCTGATGCTCCGCGTTGCACGCGGGATGATGCGATAAATTCATTTCCAACTCGCTGCATTCTCCTTTGAATATTTTAATGACTCATTGAATGGAGTTTAAAAAAAAAGAGAAAGAGAGAGGGAGAGAGAAAAAAAAAAGGCGATTTCAAATGAACAATTATGCTGCATTAGAGTAAAGGCTGATTATATTTAAACACTGCTTGCACGGATAACGGGACATATCGACCTCCGCCTATAAGAGCTAATTTGGCTCTTATCTCTAAATAATTTTACACTGCAAATTACCATGAAAACCTAAAGGGCTTTAAAAACATTCATCAAAAGATATTATTCCACTTTGTAGCAACGTTTTTATTTAAATTATTTTGAATGGGAGTGAAAGCATCTCTGCAGCACCTGACGAGCAGAGCGGCGGCGCCGCCGTTGGCGACCGGGAGCAGCGGATGGGAGCCGGCGGGATGGGGAGCTCCAACCCCAACGCTGCCTTTAGGGACACCGACCCCAAACCAGTGCTGTGGTTTTTTGTTCTTTATTTGTCGGCGTTCCACATCACAACAGACCCCCAGCCTCAGTGGCGAGTTGGGGTGTTGTGGTTTGAGTGGAGGGCTCCCAAATCTGGGTTTCAGGAGGGCCGCTCCGTGCCTACGGGAGGAAGATGCCTCCAGGGAGGGATGCCCTATGGCGAGCCCATGGATGTGGGTGCAGAGATGCCCTATGAGTGTGGTGTCATAGAATCATAGATTCACAAGGTTGGAAATGACTGGTAAGATCATCCAGTCCAACCATCTTCTCATTACCATTGCCACCACAAGCACTAAACCACATCTCGTAGCTCCTCATCCAGTCGCCTCTTGAACACATTGCCAGGGATGGTGACTCCACCACCTCCCTGGGCAGCCATTCCAGTGCCTGACCACCCTCTGAGAGAAAAAGTTTCTCCTCATGTCTAAACTAAACCTCCTCTGGTACACCCTGTGGCCATTTCCCCTGGTCCTGTTTGTTGCCTGGGAGAAGAGGCCGAACCTCTCCTCATCACAACCTCCCTTCAGGAAGTTGTAGAGTGCAGTGAGGTCTCCCCTGAGCCTCCTCTTCTCCACACTGAACAATCCCAGCTCCCTCAGCAGCTCCTCATAAGGTAATGTGTCTCATAAGGTGTCCTTCTATGCACGTGTGTACAATGCGTGTAAGGCGTTGTGTCCCTGCGCCCACAGCACAGCGCTGGAGCTGAACAACTGCAGCCGGGGCCGATGGAGACGCAGCCCTGGGCGACGGCGAAACCATCCCCCAGATTCACCTTTTCTCCCCCAGAGCCGCTGTGCCGCTATCAGAGCTCCCCCCTCCCATCCTGCCGAGGAGATTTCCAACCTCAGCCCTGATTTGCTCAAGAAAAACGCAGCGCCTTCCACCCGTGCGGCTGTAAATCCCCCCATCTCTGCTCCAACGATCGAGCGCTCAAAAAAATGGAAAAAAAAAGGGACAAAAAAAAAAAGACAAGAAAACCACAATAATTAGCAATAACGAACGCCTCAGAAGGAGCCGCGTGCAGAAGGGAAAACAAGAGCTCCAGCTTTTTTTTTCTCTTTTGCGTTTAGTAAATATTAAAATTAATGAGAGACTTCCGAGACCCTGTTGTTAGAAATGCAGAAGGGCTTCTGTGAAGGATTACATATAAAAAAAATAAGAAAAAAATCACGGAAAGAAAGGCCTTGTGCATAAATCCCTGCAATTATTCCCCATGCTTTATGGTTCAGGGTTTTTTTTTCTTGTTTTTTTTTTCTTTTTTTTTTTTTTCAGCCAATTATGAAATTCGCAGAAAATATTAATATCTAATTTTAATTTGCTCAATATTCCCATTAACCATAAAAAAAAGCCTAATTAAGGTATCTGTACAAAAAGCCCTCAGCAGTAATTTTGGAGAATAATAGCAGAGAATGACGAGATATTTCTTGCTAAATGCGCGCCGCAAATTAATTGATATCTTAATTAGACTTCAGATTACGAGTTAGATTGATTCAGAGCTGAAACGCCGCATCTTCTAGGAGATAAGAGGAGGAGTGGGAGCACGGATTCACCCAAAGCCCTCAGGAAGCAAAGTGGTGACAGAAGGGCCCCCATCCGCTGCGTGGTGCTGAGCGCAAAGGGAAAATAGAGGATTCTGCACCAAAGATTGGGGAAAAGGAGAGATTTTGCACCAAAGCTGCTGTTTTTCCCCCCCCCCCTGTTAGATTTTCTCCAAATCTGATGTGTTTTTTTTTTCCCCCCCCTTCCTCTCCCAAAATAAGCTGACGACGAGAGCTCTCGCGAGATGGAGCGCAGGGAGAGCTGTGGGTGCGGAGTCTGCATGCTGCATCTTTTTTCTGCGTGTCTTTAGGAAAGAGTGGAAAAAGAAAAGGAAAAGAAAAGAGGGGGAAAAAAAAAAGCAGCAGTATTTTAATCCCAGCCTCACTGCATTCGGTGTCAGGAAGCGCTGCCCTCCCTGCGCACCGAGCGCCGTTTGCGTTTCTCCCCCTTGGGGTTTCACCCCTGCAATGAACGGCGCCCCACTGGGTGCAGCCGTGGGGCCGTCGCCGCCCTCCCACCTGGGGGCACTCAGACACTCACAGGGACGTCGGTGAGCAGCCAATGCCTCCAGAAGCGGCGCCGGGGGTCGGCTCTGCTGGGGGCGTCGGGGTCCACCAGCACCACCACGTACTTCTTGCTCTGCGAGAGAGGGGAGAAATGGGGGGCATGGGGCTGAGTGAGCGAGGAGCAGCCTGCCCTGCATGGCTGCTTGTCACCCTTTCCTCTGCATGCACGAGCCAGGAGAATGTGAGGCATGGGGAGCAACAAGGAGGGGAACGCGAGGCACGCAGGCCCACAGGACCCCGATGGCCCCAAAGCCTCCAAAAGGGGCTCTGTGGAAGGAGAAGGGTGTTTGGGTGTGCATCCAAAGAAATGCGCTCAGGATCCCCCCCCGACCCTGTAACACAGCACAGGGCTTTCTGCTCTCCTGTAAAAGGATGCCAGCGCATTTCCTGAAAGCAATGCCCGGCGGTGGGCACCCTTGGGTGTGCTGGTCCCTGTAGGAGGGCACCCAGAGCACCGGGGTGCCACCAGTGCAGGGATTTGGGGCCCTGCAGGTTTGAAGTGACCTCTGGAGGTTTGTGGGAGGAAAATCTGATCTGTAAGGATTTGGCAGGACCTCAGGAGAGGGATTATCCTGCAAGCAGACAGATGAAGAGGCCTCTCCTAACGAGACCTCCAGGTGCAACCTCTAGGGGCTGAGATTTCAGGGAACCGCCGCAGGATTGAGTCACAAGTTCTCATCCATGGAGCCAGAGCTCCCTATCTAAATCCCCCAGTGCCTTGGGAAACGGGCAGGGATTGCACAGTGGGATCGCAGCCCTGCACACAGCACCTCCGCTCCGTTCCCAAACCACGCTCCTGGTGCCCCCCACTCACCGTGCCCCCAAAGCCCCGCACGGCTCGGCCCTCGGTGCAAACCACAAAGCGCCATCTCCACCAAAGGAGCCATTCCAACAGCAAATCGTGGATTTAGACCCACTGAGCCAAGAGCTTGCAATCCTGCGCTGATGCAACCTGCCCCAGAGCAAAGCGCCGTGCCTTAATCCCAGCTCGGTTCACCGCAATCGCTTTGCAACGGGTTCACGCCAAGCGTGCAGATGCGCACCCCCCAAAAAATGGGTCACTGTGGGATGGAGACGGGGACACGGCGCTCACAGCTGCAGCGGCGCCCGGAGCACCGCGGAGGAGCGGAAATATTTTCGTGTCGGTGCCGAAAACGGGAAGGAGGAGGGATTGGGGAGGGAGAAGGGGGAGAGAAAAAAAAGCCCGACAACCCCAAAACCCCGCTCGGCAAGTGTGAAGGAATTTGAGCTCTAACTTTAGGGAGGGTGCAGCGCTGAGCGCGGCGCTTCTGAAGCTCTCGTTTCTCCTTCGGAGCCCAGCTGGTGGGAACAGAACGTGTAGTCATGGGACTGTCATCGTGTGCTGTCCAGGTTAACATGTAGCATTTCTATTACTATTAACAGACTTTCTGCTCCTCGCTCCATCTGTTCTTCGAAATAATTGCAGTTGTACAGACCATGCCTTCGCTGCAGGCAGGCTCTGGGGAGAGGGTAGCGCTTTTATGCAAAAAAAAAAAAAAAAAAAATAAAAAAAAAAAATTAAAAAAATAAAAAAAAAAAGGAGGAAAAAAAAATAAAACAAGTGTTAAAAAATAACAGCAAACACGAGAATAGAGTGCAAGCGGAGTTAGCAGCAGGCTCGCGATTGGGTACAGATTGTGGCCTAGAAAGGTGCTGTGCACGCGGAGCAGGGCAGAGCCCCGCGGGGATGGGCGCCGGGTCGGCCCCAAGCGTGGATCCCACTGGGAGCAGCGGAGCCGTGAGGATGAGGGGGGTTTTCTTGCCCTGCTGGGCGCAGGGAGCAGTGCCCCCACTGAGCGCCAGGGCTGCGCTGTGCACAGAGATGGGGTTTTGCTGCTGCAGCCCCACGGCACAGCAGTGCTGGGGTCGGTTTCCCAACCCTGCAATCCTCCCCACCGTGGGCTCGCCGCTTTGGCTGCTGGCGCTGGGTGACGCTGAGCGGTGTCACTGCTCCGGGGGTTTTGGGGAGGAGGGAAGGAGATCTCCACCCCAAAATCCGCTTTTAGAAAATGCCACACTTTGCTAATTTTGCCAAGGCAACCAAAAGCTGTTTGGGGTTCCAACATTAGAAATAACTCCTTGCAAAGCGCTCTCTATTCAACTGCCCCTCCCGGCCCTGCAGCACGGGGCTGGCCAAAAACCCAAAGCGTGGTGCCATCCCAAAACCCTGAAGTGCATCCCAAAGGGAGCAGAGAGCAGCGCCGTGCATCACTGCAGCAAAGCGTGCAGCTCCCACTGCAGCCGATCCTCTGCCACCATCCACAGGTTGGGAAACACAGGGAGTGGGATGTGAGTGGGAGAGGGGGATTTGTGCAGCGGGATTACAGGGAACCGTGCAGGAATTAAGGATTTATCCGAAGGAGAGCACGCAGGGTGCTAAGCCACACACATGTAGAGAGAGCAGTTTCCTTGGAAACGAGCACACATGGAAGCAGCACACATGCGGATCCGGGCTGGCGATGGCGTTTCCCCAGCAGCCAAAGTGGAGTTTTGGGGATGGGGATGCAGGATGCAGTGTGTGCTGCAATGGGATCCGGGCTGTGCCGGCCTGGATCGCCTCGGTAAGCCAGTCTCCAAGGGAGCAAGTCAAGTGATGAGCAAAGTCACGGTGCAACGTGTGCTGCTCGGCACAAATAAGGGGTTTGCTGGGCTTGGGAGCATCCCAGCTGGGTTGACTTTGAGCAGCTTACAGCACACGGGATGCAGACCGTGGCACAGCGAGCAGCGCAGAGCTCCCTGCATGCAACTGCAGCACGGGAGGGGAAATGCATCCCACGGCAGCTCACAGATGGGAAGGGAGCTGCATTGGTGCGGGGCGCAGGGTGAGGGGCTGCAAGGTGCGGGGTGCAGGATGCAGGGCGTGGGATGAGAGGTGCAGGGTGCAGAGTTTGGAATTCGGGCTGTGGGGTGCAGGATATGGGATGTGGGGTGCGGGGTGCTGCCTGCACGCCATGCAGGAGCCGGAGCTGCCGCTCCCCCTGCGCAGTGGAAGCACCACGAGCGCCAGCTGAGAGCTCAGAGTCAATCTGGGCTTTTTTCTTGGCTCGTCCCCAGTACTAAAAAGTTTCTATAACGGGCACGTAGTTAGCAATTCTGCTGCTGATGCTTCGCCAAGGAGAGATTCTAGCTCCTTCTCCCGTGGCTAACGGGGGGGTGAGGAAGGCGAAAAAACTGTTTGCAGCCGAGTTGGGTGTTGTGGGAGCAGCGTTCCGAGGTGGTTTTTACCTTTCTAATTGAAACCAGAGCCTCTCTGCTTTCCCCGTGCAAAATAGGTCAGCAATATTAACCCTCCTCAGCAGGACTTGCCCAAGGGGACATGTGGCACAATCTCAGCGCTTGACCCAAAGCATCTCATCCCCCCCCCCCCGCGCTGCCCAAGGGAACTTCATTGACTTTCTAACAGGCTTTGCCCCCCCAGCTCCCCGGGGAGCTGAGGCAGCCAAATATTTATGCAGCCCGATGTCCGGATAATAAGGGATTAATGCAGGGTCGTTACGGTGAGCGCGTCGATTTGTAAGGCTTATTCCCCAATGGAGGCCCTTGGGATGGGTTGGGAAATGGGTGATTTGCTCCGAAAGGAGAGCAGCTTGTTTCCTGTGGAGACGTCCTGCACTCGTGGTGCAGCAATGCAAAAAAAAGGGTGAACTTCCACGGGGCGCACGCTCCATAGGAACAGATCCGTTCGCAGCAGAGCTGGGAGATGCTCGTGCAGGTGGTGCACATTTCTGGGAGGGAGCGGAGCAGCGTGCAGTGCCCCCTTGTTCACAGACCCCAGAGCAATGGTTTCCCCAAAACTGAGCTCCATCCACATCGCCATCAGTGCGGGACGCAGTCGCAAAGCGAGGAGTCGGCAGTGGGAACACTGCAACCCCACCGCTGCCCCTTCTCCATCCGGGGGATAAATCCACCGCCCAAACTAAAAGCACAAACTGAAGCACGCTGTGCCACCCATTCCCTGCGTGCTCCGTCCCCACTTCTCCCATATCTATTTATTCACACCGTGACGGGAAGCAAGCTAATGAGCTCTTTGCTAACGAGCATCCCCATCTCGGAGCCGGGACGCTGGCCATTGCTCGGGACCGGCCGCGCCGGGATCACCACGCAAGGAGGAGGTGGCAGAGCTCAGCTGTCCGCCCCAATTACCGTCACACGTGGGGACACATGGGCTGGTGGCGTTTGACATTTGCCGCACAATATTTTGATGCAAAATGGCACCTCCGTCACAAATTATTTTGCAAACCTTGGCTCGGGTCCGGGTGGGTTTTCATGCGCTCCGTGTGTGTGAGGATTGTTTTGCCGGGGAGCGTTGCACGGGGTGACATCTGACGAGCAAAGCGAAGGTCCAGCGCCTCGCTGCTGCACGCCTGCCATTGGGTCGGCCAAAAAGCAAACAGCCGCATCTCGGCAGACCCCACAGCGGCGTTTTCCCCTTTCCCGCTGCTTTTTTTGTGCGGTGGGACAGAGCCGAAGCGCTGCCGCCCCCACCCCCAGCATCGAGGTCGGGGTCGCGGATCTGGGAGCCGCTGCACCCGCTGCCATCAGACACCTCGGGAAGCTGAAATGACTTTAAATGCCTAAACATTTTAAAACAAACCCCGGAACAATTCAGCTCCAGCTCCTCGCCCGCTTTCTCTCTCTCTCCCTCTCTCTCTCCCATTTTTACGGTTTCCAGAGCTGTTTTACGCCTCATTACCTGCACACTGTGAGTGATGTCTGTCGGTCCTGGAGCTGTAAATACCTTAAATCATGCTTCATTAAGAATATCTATGGTGCTATTAAAGAGCTATAATAGACAACGAGTTAACAGATGATTAAATATGAACTCCATTTGTGTCACTCACCAGCGTGCCAGGAAGAGGCTTTAAGTTTCTAAACTCGCTCTCATTATCTGGCAAAGTGCAGCTGGGGGGAGCGCACTGGGATGCTGGCACGGGCACACGAGCATCCCACGGAGGCTCTGAGATGACAGTGAGGAGAGCCCTTCACCGGGCAAAGAGAACTTGGTGACAAAAGTGAGAGATTGGGTTCTGGCGCTGGGAAACCAGAGATATG